GTGGCAGTGGAGTCAATTCTGACCTGAACCTGAGTGACTGAAATTGAATCTGTCCTTTAACCTAATTTGAACTAAGAAATCATGATCAGAGATGTCTTTGCTAACAGAAATGCTCGTGTGGAATTGAAGCACTAAGGAGAACAAAGTGAAGCTTCTAAAGAATGTCAGATTTTGAGTATCTTCATAAGAGGAGACTAGAAGCTGAGAAGAGGGACAGAAACCGTACAAACAACTTCAGTTGCAGTGATATTGCAGAAGCTGTGGTAATTATACAATCAATTATATTTCTTTCATGGGCTTTGGGATATCTTTGGATTAGTCAGCTCTAAGCACTTTAAAGCTATTGTTGGAAATACATTCTTTAAAGTACCTACAAAATCTTGTGTAGTATAGTGCTATTCATGAAAGCACACTGTAAAAGCAGAAGTATGGGGTGAAAAAAGCTTTTTTTTGGCAGATGTAACTATAATTGGGAGGGGAAGATGGAACAAATCAAATTGCAATAAGGATTTTGAAGTGTTTGCAATAGTTGTTCCACACAACTGGATGATTCTACACCTCATGTTCCTGTTCATTGTTACAGTAGCTGAGTATTTTTAATAACAAAAATTCAGTTGCATTTCTACAGCAGCATTCCACCTTTATTAAAAAAATAAATAAATAAAAAAGAAAAAAACCAAGCAAACACAAGTTTATGTGAAAATTGAATGCCTATTTCATACTATCCATTCTGCTTCTCAGTGACCTAGAAAGCTCCAGAAAAGCTGAATTTCCATCAGTGATCCACGCTGCTAAGCCTGGATCATCAGACATTGCAAAACAGACCTAGCAAGCCTTAGTCTCTGAAAAGGCAAAAAAATGAGATGTGGGAGTAAAACATTACACAGGCTGACCATCATGTGACAGATCTGGAAGTGGACAGAGAGCATGAGCTGTTGGGTCTTTGTCGTGAGAAATTTGAAGAGCACCACACCTTGCTGGGTGGTGCTCCCAGTCCCTTTTCCCTGTAAATCCAAGCTGAGCACACTTCTACAGTGCATGTTTGAGGCATGGGCTCATGTCTGAGGCAAACCACAGGAGAGTGGGAGAGCCCCTCCTGGCCAGCCAGCCATCTACAGAGACCCAAGCTACCACAGCTTCATCTAAGGCCTGGTTTCTCACCAGCACAGGGATTTCCAAACGGATTAGCAAAGGATCTCAGCTCCCAAACCATGCTCAACAGCTGAATGTTCTAGACAACACCTTCCCAAACACTAACCAAGCTCTGTCAGGATGGATTTTAAAAGCAGTGAAATAAGGCAGCAGGCAAGGGAGGGCTCTGGCAGCTTTAATGAACAAAATAGACTCTGTAGAAACACTGCTTCCAAAACATTTTTTTTTTGACAAGGGCAGGTGTATTGTCCTTATATCACTTCAGCCTGACAGAGAAAAGAACATGCCTTGTCATCTTTCTGCTAAATGCAACCACAATCAAAAATTACTTCTGAGGCAGTTAATAACAACTTCAAGAGTATCAGCACAATGTGTAAAACACCACTTAGACTTGGCAAGTTTAAATGGTTTTGAAATAGCAGGTGAATAATATATTTGGATTTGCCTCTGTGGGCAGCCAGAGCAGAGAAAATTACTGTAAGACAAATTTTTTGTCAAAAACCTGAAGATAAACAACTCAGCTTCTTTTTGTCAAGAGTAACAGAGTGGGTGTATAAATAAAATGCAGTAGGCAGGATGTCCCTGGTGTTTAACAAGGCCTCTAGCACTCCACCACACAGAAAACTCATTAACACACCAGAGAATCGTGGCACAGATCAATTCAGATGAAGAACAGAGATTGTAAGTGAAAAGATTGCAAGTGAAGAGATAAGTGTCATGCTAAATCTGGCTGGCTGGAATATCAAGAAGGGACTTGTTAGGTCCCACATTAATCAACTACCAGCAGTGCAGGGCAGAGCTGCTCCTGCTCCTCCCCTGCCTGGGTACTTGCACTGCAGTAGCAGACTGAGAGTTCAAAATGTGTGCAGGATATTTATTACAGTCTGGAAGGTTCACCATCCCACCTGACAGGATTTTAACACATGAAGCCTTAAGTCCACCTCTTGATTAGCCTTTCCTCATTTACCATACTCTATGCAAATCCTCCTTCGCCAAAATATTCTCTTGCACCATCCCATATTTTGACTGCTCCTCAATCTTTTCTCCTTAAAATCACTCCCTTAAAGAACCTGCATGGAGTAAAATGCTATTTGAAAGATTCTTCAATCAACAGGTATTTTATGGCAGTCGCATTTATTAAAAATTGCAATAAAAATGACAACTCTATGGTTGTGGTTTGTGAAGGGCAGCAGTAGCTGCCACAGCCAGCCAAAGTCCAAGACAGACACATCATTGATAACATTTTGTCAAATATATTATTTTCAGCTCTATGGACATTTCCAACCATCAACATCCTGTATTTGTTTCTCTTTGTTAAAGCTGGAGTCTCCCTTCTGTCAAATGTGATTGAAGTACAGCATGCACCTGCCTCGTCAGGTAAGCACTGCAGAACTATCCTGGTTAATAAAACAGTTAATAACAGTGGTTTGGAAACCTGTACAAGATCTGGGCTGCTTTTGCCTACACACAGTTATATCTTCTCATACGTGTGAGCAATATTGCATGCAGAAATAAAAATACATGTGTATGTGAAATGGCTTTGATGAAGAAGACAACGTACAATCCTTCAAAAAACACAGCATGTGGCAAGAAGCACCATGGAGTGAGGCAGAAAAATATGAATAGTTGGGAAAAAAAAACCCAAAAATTTTGTCCATAGGATACTGCCATATTTCTGCTCTTGAATAAACAGGTGTCTCACTGAAGTCAGTGTGACCTGCAGGCACAGAATGAGGACACAAACATTCAAGTACTTCTTTTTAAAGGCATTTTTGTCCCTGAATGTCTTTTTTTTTTTTTAACAAGTGAACAATTTTGTGTTATACTTCCTATTTAATGGAAATACATTTGAAAGGCTTCTTGGCTGTGACCAGAGACATTCAGTGCTGCTAATTTAGATTTGTTTCTTTTGTTATCCTCTAAATAACTTGCTCTTTTCATAGGTATAGCTTTTCCAAATTGCCTTCTTCTGAATTCTTCTTTCTTTTTTCTTATTTCCTATTAACACTGTTCTTCAAAAAATAAAGGCAAATTAAAGAAATGGCAGCCACTAGACTGCAACTAATCAGTGAGATACTTCATATTTCCAGTCTTTTGAATACTGTTGAATGCTTCCTTACAATGGATATCAGATAACTTTCTCCACATAGCATGAAGGCAAATTTCAGGCAAAACCTTATCACTGCACATGAAATATTGCCCACTCTTCTGCTTTGCATTCATGCAGCCCCGTTCCTGCTCGCTATTAGCAATTCAGCAAATTGTAAAATAACAGCAATGCTGCACCTTCCTTGAGGAATATGCTCCCCCAGCACTTGCATAAATATTATCCCAATCAATAATCTAGTAATTAAAGCCACCAGCATTTTGGCCATTTTAAAAGACTCCTTATCTAACCAAAAAACCCCCAAACATTTCTTGCATTACTATATCCAACTGCCTTCGAAACAGAACAAGAATCATTCAGCCACCCCTTTGTCCCTAACCCCCAAATTAGCTATTGCTGTAAAGTCACTGAAAATCATTCTGGTTTTCTCTGCAGACACAGCATCATTTTCTTCCTGAGTATCTCTTATTCCTTTTCTCATTCTTGGTTTATCAATAAGCCATAAATTCTGACTTTGAGAATACAAGTTTTAGTTTTGTCTCAGGGTTCTTTTTGTTGAAGGGGGTTGATTTTGTTTTGGTTTGCCTTCAGTAATTAAAAAAAAAAAAGAAAAAACAAAGAAACTGAGATGCTAAGGACAGGAAAACACTGGTAAGCAAATGAGTGAGTCTGACAAAGAATCAATTATCTCCACTGCTCACTACCAGAACATATCAAGGGTGAAATCCTGCCTCCATTAAAGTCAATTGGAGATTTGTCGTTGGCTTTGTCTGGTCAGGAATTTTATTCTAGAAATATTGGAGGTGACAAAAAAAGCCTGCATGGAGGACAGAGCAGGCTTACCTGGAGACTTCAAAAAAGCAGCACGTCTAAGGACTGCAATTCAACTCCAGAACTTTATGGATAATTTACTTTTTTGAAAGGTTAAACAGACAGAATATCCTACTGTGAGAGTAGGATATGGTTATACTCACAAACCTCAGGAAAACTGCATGACTTTGAACACAGCTTTCCCCAGCATCTGATGACAAAGGGTCACATCCTGCTCTCACCCCAAAGGATTCTTTTGGATCAGTAGCATGGCACACACCTGTCCATCCGGCCTTGCATTTCTTCAGCCTTTGCTATCAAACACCTCAACCTCAAGCTAATTTTATTGCAGCAATATTTTGCTATGGAAATCACAAAAATCTCTAAAACACCACCCAGTGGGAAATCGAAAGACTTTCCCTCTCTTTGTCCCAAGTAACATAAAGGAAAATCACATTAAATAAGTCTTGTTCATTAATAGGCCAAGGTAGGATACTGCTGCAACTGGCTGACAGAGGTGTTGGTCCATTTTTTCCTTCAAGTTCTGCCCAAACATTAAGTGCAACCAACATAAACCAGCACTTTGCCATCCCAGCAGAGGAATGCACTGCAGAGATGCAGCCCTGCCTGTTGGTACCAGCTTTTGTATTTTGAGAGGGCACAAGTCCCAGCCAAACATGTCTAAGCAGCTGCCTACCCTTAGTGTGTGTGCCCATGATTAGACAGATATGACTCTGCTAATCCAGCCCTGATTCGGGAAGAAGGATTCATATTTAGGTCACCACAAATAAGCTTCTGGGACCACAGAAAAAAGAGTCATTTGAGGCTGCCTAATCAGGTAGGGATGATTCATTTGAGTAAACCTGTGCCATGACCTTTCATGAGTCTCTGAGCTCAGACAGGATGTCAAATTTTTATGAAGAAAAGAGGTGCGATCAATTAGAGCTCATGATGACCTTTTAATAAGTAAATGATTGAGGCACACATTCACTCTGAACAGAATGAGAAATTGGATTTGTATGTGTCTAGGGTTGCCTGGGGAAGGTGGTAAAATCCACCTCCATGCGTGATCTATCACTCCAGCCAAAAGATACCTTCAAAGGAAGCTGTAGCCAGGTGAGGGTCAGTCTCTTCTCCAAGGCAACTAGAGAAACAGGAGGACAGAGCCTCCAGGCTCAGGCTGGACATCAGGAAGAATTTAATCCCAGGAAGAGCTGTCAAACATTGGAAGGGGCTGCCCAGGGGGGTGGTGGAACAGCTGGAGGTGTTCAAGAAACAGCTGGACGTGACATTCAGTGTTGTGGTTTAGTTGACAAGGTCATCACCGTGTCAGCCGGTCAAAGGTTGCACTCGATGACTTCTGAAGTCTTTTCCAGCCTGAACGATCCTGCGGCACACACACCCACACACACGCTGCAACAGACATGGAATACGGGGGCGCAGAATGGGTCAAACCCGCAGAGCTTTGCACGCCCCACGGGGATCCCAGGATCGGTCACACCGCTGGATGCGGGAGCGCTGCTCCCGCGGGAGCCGCCGACGGGGCCCCCCCGGCAGCGGGAGGAGGAGGAGGAGGAGCGGGGGGTTTCCGCGGAGCCGCTGCCGAGCCCGGCACCGCGACAGGTGCGGCGGCGGCGGCCCCCGGCCGAGAGCAGCCGCCAAGCGCGGCCGGCGGCACACGGGGCGAGCAGGGGCGATGCGGCACCTGCCGCGCATAAAAGTGATGGAGCGGCGGGGCGGCGGCGGGCGCCATGCGG